GGCACAGCTCTGCCTGCCAGGGAGCTGGAGAGGGGGAGGTTTCCCGGGGGTGCTGGTAGCTGTTCTGAAGGAAATGAGCCGGCGTGATTGTCAGAAGTGCAAAGGAATCCGTGTTTTAAAATTGTTATTATTATTCTTAGGGTCATTTTTTTACCCAATACAAACCTACGGATCTGGAGAGGTGTGGCGTAAAAATAGTTGCAAGAAATACCGCCTGTCCTTTTTCCTGGCGATATCACCCCCAGTAACGCGCACACACGTTTGCCACGGTCAGTGGGACCGAAAACTCCACTACTCGGAATTTCAAAGCCACTCGGAAAGTTCTTTGTGTGCAACAATTGCTGCCGAAGCTCCGATCGGAGCAAAATGCCTCTCCCGGAGCCTGCTCTTTGCCGTGGGAACGCTGGCACACGGGTACACGGGAACGACTGGGTCGTGTTGAGTGTGCTTAAAGTTTTTCCATCCCCCGATGCCGTGTTACACATGTCAGGGAAGTGATAGATGTGCTGCATCCGTTGCATGGCTGCACAGCGGCGAGATAGAGCGTGGCATGATTGGTGCTTGGGTGTAGGTGATAAAGGTGCTAGCAGGGAACACAAGCTGTCGGAGCTGGAAGGCAGAATTAATTGCTTTTAGGGATTTCCTAGTGACATCATTCATAATTATATGGCTTAATCCTCTAATCTGCTCTAGTGCCTTCGGTTCACATTGGGCCAAATCCACCGATTCCCGAGGTAATTTCTATTCCCGACCACCTGACTGAATAATTGGGAGTTTTGCTTGTGTAAGCCCCTGATTTAAGGAGGATGCCCCAATTACTTTAAATAGGAATTGAAAGAAACATCGGGCAGGATCGGGCCCAAGCTTTGCATAGTTCTCCGGTGAGAGCAGACGATGGTTAATTTTTACATCAGAAAGAAGGGTATTTCTAGCTTCTTGTTCCACTGAAGAGAGGCAGCACCAAATACAAACAGCAAGTGTGGTTGATATGCCTGTGGTATCTTTCTGATAGACTGTGGGAGATCACAGGGGAAAAAGAGACTTGGTTATCATACTGAAGCTGCTGATTTGTTGTTTATTAATTATTAACCAGGCTTTTGAGTGCCTGCTGCAGTTTGACGAGCCAGCACGGGAAAAGGACTAGGTATTTAAAGCAGTATATGCTCATGCTGAACAGTTGCTTTGACATTCAAAATAGTCTTTGCTTTTGAAAGCATTCGAGAAGCTGGAAGGGGGCACGCTGAAGTTGTCACACATGATCCTTCACTGGCATAAATCGAAGCCTGTGGAGCTACAGTGATCTATACTTGTTGAGCCTTGGGTATTCGGGCTGGAATAAACAGCTTTAATGGAGCAGTGGAGCTACTGTGATTTATGGGAGTGCCTATACTTGCTGGACGTGGTTTCTGTCCTCACCCTGTTGATGTCTGTGGCCAAGCTTTTGCAGACTTGAGTGGGGTCTAGATTTGTCTTACTGGACATAGTTTGTCCTTTCTGTTGGGCAAGTGTTAGGACCTACTCGACCTTCCTTCATATTAGTAGGTTTTTGCTGAACTGAACAGATCTAAACCCTTATGGGTGAGGAACAGCATGCTCTGTTCCTGGCAGGGACAGCAGACACTACCTTCCTGATAGATAAGTTCACATGATTTACAGTGTGCTACTTTTCTTCTGAATAAAAACTTTAGAAGAAATTTGAAGTTCTTCTGTTTTTTCTTCTAAAACAATTTTTTTTTCCTTTTTTTCTTTTTAATGTTTTCCCCCAGGAAGACTGATCCCTGCATGTATAGGTATGTTTGTGTCTGGAGTTTGATAGGTTGTAGTCCCTGCACTGGAAGAGTTGCTGTAGGTTGGGAATCAATAGGTCAAGAAGTTCTCTCCTGTTGATCAGAGGCAGGTACGCTAAAGGAAAACAGTTGCTGGCAAATGTTAGCTTGTTGCAGAGTGGGTACATTTCTTCAGCATTATCTTGTCTGGGAGTGGTTTGGGACCAGAAGAGCTGGCTGGCTGTGTTTATTGATGCCTCCATTCCTTCCAAAGGGAAGATGTTCTTGGTTCGTTAGGGTGCACAGAGGTCGTGGTGTGCCTGAGGGTCTAGGGTGGGTGAAGTCAAAGACAGTACTAAAAGCCTGAGGTTGCTGATTATCTGGGAAGTTTTTACCTTTGGAGAAGTTTTCTTGGTTCATAATATCTAATTTCAGTATTCTCTAAAAAGGTACTCATCCTCACATCCTTGTGCAAGGACTGTGCTTGTACTCAGGTGGGTACGTCAGCACTCTCAGAGCTTCGGTTCTGCCAGATGCCTCTAGATTTTTATTTTCATTGTAAAGTAGGGTTGCTAGAGACCTCTTCAAGCTGTCTTTTCAATACTTGTTTACTACTCTACCCCTGTGCAGTAGTATCCTCTGCATTAGCACAACACATTATTCTGACTGAGTAAGGGGAAGGAGAATGTCCTGTGGTACAGGTGATTTATGAGTAGGATGCGTAACTTCTTGTCTGTTCTGCACACCTTGGTGATTTCTTGGAACCTTTCAAAGAATCAGACAGGAATATTTGCTGTGAGGCTGCTCCAGAAGCAGAGTTCTGGAATAGCAGGTGAACTAATTTAGACCCAAATGTGAAGTCCACTTAGTGGAAATTAATCTGAATCTGTTTTACAGGTAATGTCCTTGCTCTGTGCAAGTCAGTGGGTCTTTTACCATTGACTTCAGCTCTGTCAGGTTTTCATTCTTGGAGCCTGTTCCCTTTACTGATGATGTTACTGAAAAATTTCATTAGGAGAGTGCTTAGATCCCATGTGAGATATTTGTTCTATGTCCCAGACACAGAACTTTTGCTTACACGTACTGCTATGTTGATAGAGAAACCATGGTCTCTAAGTGGTCCTGCTCTGGCAGGGGGATTGGACTAGATGATCTTTTGAGGTCCCTTCCAACCCCTAAGATCCTGCGATTCTGTGATGGTCAGGATGGCCTCTTCCTATCAAGTTTCCCTGAACTTCTGAACACAGCAACTTTAAACTGCTGGAGTATGTATCTTTTCTGTCAATTCCACCAGGTCCCTACTAGTTCAAGGGGTGCCCAGGCTTATTCTGGGCATAAGCCATTTCTATATTTTACATTTAGATTTGTGCTACCACCAATGGTGCTCCTGCAGACCAGAAGGTGCTGCTGCTGGTTTGAGTGGAACAATGACTGCTGTCTCTAGGTGGCTTTGGGAGGCTTCAGAGGCCCTGGTTGTGCTGAAACATGGAGGTGTGCTTCCAAAGCAATATCAAACAGTTTTGTGAGTCACCTGGGGCTCTTGGATTACAGGATGCCATCCTTTGCCCTGATACTCTATCTCCTCCAGGGTAATTTAGTCCAATAGGGAAAAGAGATGATGTTTAGACTAGTAGCTGGGGGACCTGGGCTGTTATCTGCAGCTTGGTATGAAATGTGAGAAGAATTTTAATCCTTTACATCTCTGTGGAAATCATGTGGCCAATAGGTGAATGCTGCAAATGTCTTTCATCTTTTTTTTTTTTTTTTTTTGCATAGGTGGTTATGCATTTATTTATTTATTACTCATTAGCCTTGTGATGATACTGGATTAATGTAGCACTTTTGGAGTGCTTTAACTTGTGTGTAGTAAAATCTCTGGGAAGGAAATAGTTTAATTGAAAGAATTGGAAAAGAATATCTTCTCTTTCCTGCAGCAGAATTATTGTCTTAGAAGTAATTACTGTATGCAGTGTGTGAGTGTGAAGGCACTAGAAATGTCTGCACCAGATATTCTTCTCCATTCCTTTCATTACCTGATTTGAAATAAAAATTGATCTCTCTCTCTCTTTGCCTCTAACAGCTGTAGGATTTGGAATGGATCCTGACTTACAAATTGATATTATCACAGAACTGGATCTTGTGAATACAACCCTTGGGGTAACACAAGTGTCAGGACTACACAATGCCAGCAAAGCATTTTTATTTCAAGGTAAGACAAATGTCCTCAATTCTCTTATCTCACTTCTGCCTGCATGAGCTCGTAAGAACTTTGATGCCTAACTGATTCCCTCTAATGGTGGGCTTACTTAACTGTTACTTTATTTTAATTTTTTTGTAATAGTCCTTGTTACTTTCCAGAAATATGTATGGATTATTTTTTTTTTTAATGTGCTGTCAGGTAGTTGAGAGAAGTATTTTTGGGTAGGATTTCAACAATCCCCAGTATTATTTCTACCTAAATATATCAAATATATCATCATCATATATCAAAGTCCACGGCATGGACTTAGGTGTGTTCCTGACTGTGACTGTACACATGCAGAAACACACACAGCTGAAGTATGTAACTATGAGAAAGCATTTCATGTATTAACACTGATCAGTAACATGTAGCAAGTCTTTCATCAACTTTGCAAAAACTGCCCAAGTGAGAAAATGGAACAGTATTGTATTTAACTGTCCAAGATGAAGTGTTTTAAAATGGTGGTGTTTTTGTGTGTGTGTGTTTTTACTGAGTGAACTTCTGCATGAATTTTAAAAAGTTTTACCACAGACTTAAGTAAGAACCAGATTAAGACACAGTGTCCCATGGGTGGAAGCACTGAGTTGCTACAACATGCTTATTAGGCAAGAAAGACATCTGTATCAGTTGAGATTAACATGCACATTAAAGCACAAGTGGGAACATTTTGATTGTGGAGACTTCCTACATTTGTTGTTTTTTTCTTGACTGTGCTTTATGTTGAAGTGTGCAAGTTGGTGTTTTTTTGATATTCACCCTCCGTAGCTGTTTTTAGAGGTAAATGACTATAATCCCATTTAGCTTTTGTTCTGGATCTGCAATGCTAACTGACCTCTTTGTAAATAATAATAAGTGGGTCTCTAACTTTAGTTTGTTCCTTACCTGGCCAAGGTCACTTTAGGAGCCAGAGCAGGGATACTTCTGGAGACCTTCTCAGAATTTGTTAGTCATATTTCCAATCTTTTATGACACAATGAGTACCATCATTTTCACTGTTTCCTAAGTTAGCATCCAGAAGAAGAGCATTAATTTGTTAAAGATATCAGTTGTTTTTCTTCTGATACCCTGACCCCAAGTTTGTGTATTATGGACAAAAAATATGGAAGTACAGGCATTCCTCTAAGGACTGGAAGGACCTAACTGACTGAAAATATTTTTAGTATTTCCAATTGCTAATTGTGCAGCTAATTACAACTGCACTGATGAGCTGTGATGGTGAGTTGTCACAGGCTGGCAGTCAGAGCTGCAGGGAAGAAGACTGAGAAGTTTTTCAGGGCATTGATTGAAACCAGTGATACTGAAAGGATTTTTGAAAGCTTTATGGTGAAGATATGGATATTCAGTTCTTTTTGCCTTGGAGGACCTCACCTGTAGTTTACAAACCCAGGGAAAACGAGATTAAAAAAGCTAAAGCTTGTAAAATTCACATAAATTGGATGACACAGGTTCACAGGAAGCACTGAAATTTGCTGTATGTGGTTAGGTAATTAAAGCTGTTTTAATTCCCACAACAGAAATCCTTCTTGCTAATGCACACAAGAATAGCCCTGTGCTTGAATATTGCCTCTAGTATAAAACTTCTTGGAAGATGACTCAGGAAAATTATTCCCTTCAGTTAAGCTTATCAGCCTGTGGGCTGGGAGAGAGCTGCAGACCTTTGCTGTATTAGTCCATCCTGGGAGAGGTCTGCAAGGGGTCTTTTGGTGCTGCTGTCAGATGGGATGGAAGTTGAAGGCCCCTCTGTTGGCTGCTTCCCTTCTTGTTCTATCTGTTATTTGTTAAATGTCAGCAGCTGTATGAATTCCCTTTTACTAACAGAGGTGACTTATTTTACAGCTACAGCTTGGCTGTGTGCCAGGTCCTTTGGCTGGAACCAGGAGATACTTTGTTTTGATTTTTTTTTTTTTTTTTTTTCCTAAACCTTACTGTACAGTAAAACTCACACAGAACTGAAGGCAATGTATGGGCAGCTACTATGTCTAAGAAGTAATACTTTTCCTCACAGAGCTTCACAAAAAAACCCCCAGCCAAACCCAGCCATCATGACACTCCCAGAGTAGGGAAAAGACTGGAAGCGAGTGCTTAGTTTCAAAGTTCCTGTCCTCTTGGACCAGCTATTCCCGTCTCCAAGATGTGGTGCTTTCAGCAAAGCTTTGCTTTGGTTAATCAGTAGTTAACATGTGCTGTGCCTCACTGTGCCACCCTCCTCCGGTGTCACCTCTGGGCAGGGGAGGACCTGCTTTACCTGACAGGCTGATTGCTGAGCATGGAGCCACATTAGAAGACCTCTTCACTCATGTGTTTTCACCCCTGAGGATTTTCATAGTTTAGGAAATGAGAAGAAGAGTTTGAGCACGTTCTTTGGTGTGCAGTGTTCGTAGGGGCAGTTTGCCCATCACTGCTGGCAATGCCCTTACAGCAGTGTAACAGGACTCTGACCTTACACAAAGGTTTCCTGTGGATTGTTGTCTGTCTTATAAGATGTATTTCCTAAAATGGCTTCACTAGAGCTTTTCAAATGGATGATGTTCCTTTGTGTGTCCCTGGAAGTCTTCATCTTTGATGTATAGAAACGATAATTTTCCCCCGGCCCAGACAGCTGTGTACACTGCTCTAGTGAAAATGTGGATTGTTTTCCTGAGCAGGATTTTTTTCCTGTGAATTAAATTATTTGAAAGGTTTTGGCATTCTTTCAGTTGCATTTAAAAGCAAAGAGAAGAGATAAAGAATGGAGGCGATGGGAAGATATTCACAAAAGAAAGAGAAACTTTTAAATTAGTTTTTTGATCAGTGATGTTAACTTTCTTATAGTAAGTTTCATATTTTTTGTTCCATAGTTTCCAGGAAGCAATGTTATGATTTGATTTATCCTAGGGAATATGTAGCAGGACTCTTTCCATGGACGGTTAGCACTTTCAGTCCAAGACAACCCCAGTGAAGCCAGTGGAGTGTTGTGATTTCATGATAATATTGGTAGTAGCAGCTGATACTTGGATTTCCTTGTGAAGCAGCTTTACAGGCAAAGAAACATTCAGCTCCATTGCAAATTTTGTGACAGCATGATAGAACCAAAGTGGCAATTGAGAGATGTGGGTTGCCTTTGGGCAAGCAAATCTGGTCCTAATCCAGAAAGGCATAGAAGCCTGTAATTAAGTGTTGTCATCTGAGTGGTCCTGTTGGGCAAGGACTTTGATTATTAGAGTATTTCAGCTGGGCTTTTCATTGATCATTTCCATTATTTGTGTGTTTCAGTTTCATTCTCTCTGAAATAGGGTTAAGGGGACTCCAAAAAGCAGTATAAGTGCTGACACTGTGAATTAGATTGAATGTAGGTATCAAATTCACAATTGCAATTCTGCAGTCTGACTCCTGAGATCCCTAACATAATGGTGTCTTTAACTATTTATCTTTCATTTATTTACACAAGAAAGAGTGGGAAAAAAGTCTTGGTGTTCAGAAGAGTTGTTCTAGCATGAAGGAATAAAGGAGGGCAAGTGGAGATTCTTGACCAGTGCTCTTGGGGAACAGGGTACCCCAGATTCTGGTGTCTGACTCCACATCTCCAGCTAGGAGTCCAAAGGATTGAAGGAAATATTCATGGGGGTGGGTGGGAAATCTATTAATCTATTATTTAATCTATCGATTAAATATATTGAAATTATTAATCGTCCACCAAACGCATCACAAGAACATCTTACAAACAGGAGGTGATAGACATCTGTAAATTGTATCTTACAAACATGGCAAAATGATACTGAAATTCCCAGAACAGGATTCTAGTATACAATTTAGGACATTAAGAAACACTGAGACATGGTTTGCTTAGTGGGACTCAGTCCAGGGCTTGCTTTGATCCTGTAGGTGGAAACCTTTTCGGGTTCTTGAGTTCAGTGGCATTATGAATGAGGCAAGAAGAGGTGCTTAACTGGTCATCCTGTTTCTAGGTGACTGGACCAAATTTTTAGCCTAGCTGCTGCATTATGTGACAACCATTTTGACTTTTGTTCTGTGCTCAGTTCTCATCGGAGAAGTAAAATTTTATTCCTTTAATGACTTGTCAGCTGTGCCCATTTCTTTGTAATTCTTCTTCTCTCATCACTTCTTTTGAACTAGCAGAGGCTTAAAGCCTTTACATATAGAGTGGTTCCCCAAAGAAATTTATTAAGGCTTTGCTATTTTCATTCCTAGAAATCTGGCAGTATTTTTCAACTTAGCCTTTGAATTAGGAATGCTCTTTTTACTATGTATACTATGTAAAATGAACCACCAAGCACTGTTAAAAATCTAGCTACAAGTAGTCCTTTCTTCCTTGACAATTTCTTTACCTGTATTAAACAACCACTGGATTTATAAGAGAAACACCTGGCCTGCAGCTCATGTAGCACAGTTTGGTCATGCTTCTTCCCACTTTGTACTGGTGACTGCTAAGTTTGTTCCTGTTTGGTTGTGGCTCTAACAGGAAAGGTGAAAGAATAGCAAGTATCTTAAAGTGCAAAACAAAAACATGTTTTTGTGAGAAATATTTGGTGAGAAAAGCATGAATCTTCATGAACGCCTGAAGCAAAAGGGCCATCCTGTTTCAGCACGAAAGAGAGAGCAAAGCTGCAGTTCCAGAGCAGGAAGAGGTACCTCCTGGCAGACTCGCTTCAGCTTCCAGATGTGGTACATCCCTCTCAGTTGGTGTTTCCTTTCAATGTGTTATGGATTATTTTTTTATCACACCTTGGCTTGCTAAGTCCTTGCTTAGAGAGTAGAGGTGTTTCCAGGGCTTTCCCTAGGAGTCCCAAGTCCTAAAAGTCAGCTTCTGCAGTGCCAAGTCTGAGGTGTTTGGTGTTGTCAGGAGTGGGCATGTGCCCTTTGTGTCAGGGATGTTAGCTGTGTTTCTGTACAGTCTTCAGGAGACACTTGTTATTCCCCGGCTACATGTGTGGGACAGTAGCTTGGCACTGAGGTGCACTCAGTAAATT